CAGGTGTGCACCACCACACCCAGCTGAGCTCACTCTTCATGACTTCTCCTCTCACTAGTTCTTGTGACTTCACCTCCTACCATTGACATCTCTCTTTCTACATCTGACCTCCCCTCCCACTCCCTACACCAAAACTGACCTCAGCATCCTCCAAACCTCTTCTTCTCTTGCTTCCTCATCTTGGGGACAACCCTGTTGTCCACTTGGCCACCTGGGCCTGAGATCCATCCTGACCCTCCTGTTCTTCCCACGTCCTGCCTGTCTGGTCTGAGCCCCCCATCCTCTGCCACCTGGTCCCTGCTTGGCCCCTGCCCCTTTCTCCTGGATGCCCAGCCTGTCTCTCTGAGGCCGTCCTGCCCCCTCTCTGCCTTCCTTCGGAGTGCCACCCTGCCCCCCCTGCTCCCTCACTTCCTGTCTACCTGTTCATGCTCCTCTTCATTCCCTCTCCGCCCTGGCCACCTTCTAGCTCTCCTGACCTGGGGAATAAGAGGGACCCAGCGAGGCTCCCTCCCCCATTCAGGAAGCAGATCCATCCCCCAATCCAGGCCTGCCATGGTCTTCTGCAAACAGTCAGAGGCTGGGAGTGGGATCTGCCTGGGGTTGACCAGCCCGGCCCGAGAAGGAAGTGGGCTGGAAGGCCAGAGGATTGCCCAACGTGCGGCCTGGGGAATCTGCTGGGTCAACAGGTTTGGAAAGGGGAAGTGGTGGGGGAAGGAAGTGGACGATGGGCTTGTCCTCCCTGCCACGCTCCCCGAGCCCCAGCCTCCGGGACCCTTGGTTCTCACTCACTGGGCTGCTCTTTGAACCTGGGTCCCCCAGGCCAGGGGCCAGAGCCACCCCCATCAGTGCCATGTGACTGACCTCTGCACCTCGCATGACTAAGGGCTGGGAGCTTGTCCCTCTGGACCAGAACCACCCACCAGCAAGGTAATGTGAGTCAGGAGGAGACCCTCACTTCCTGCAGTCAGGCAAGGGGCGCGTCCAAAGAACCAAAATGATCCGGTAAAGTTAACTTGGGGAGTACATTTTACTGAACTCGATATATTTAAGAT